CCATTTAAAAACTGGGACACTATTTCCTTTAGAAATATTAATTTATTAATAAATAAAAATAAAAATGAATTAATTACAAATTCTTAACATTTATTATACTTACTATGTGGAAGGCACTATTGACATAAAATAAACTCTGACCTCAAGGAAATTTACAATCTGCTAAGAAATAGGAAATAGGTACACAAACTTTAAGGTAAGTCAGAACATAATGAAAAGAGGCATTCCAAGTAAAATGCTAGATTTGGTGAGGGAAGAAGAAAGATTTCATGGAGAGGGCACCTTAGCAAAGTCATTATAAAAAGAAGGATGCCAATAAAGAGATGATAGGGTTTGTTGAACTGAATTTAACTGAGATGGGAGGAGAATCCATCCTAGGCATGGATGACAGTGTGAACTTAGGCAACAGAATATATGAAGATATTAAGAATGAGTAAACTAATTTGGTGGAAATGTAGAGCATGACAAATCACAAAGATAAAGCTGCAAATGTAGATTAGCATTAAATTACAGAAAAACTTGAATGCTAAGCCACAAGAGTTTCCACTTTATTTTGCAGAGAACAGGAAAATAAAAGGTTTTCAAGTAGGGAAGTAAGGTAATCATTGCAATGCATTAGGAAGATTATTCTGGAAGTAGAAAAAATTGGAAGGGAGACATCATGGGGAAGAAAGACCAGTTAGGAATATATAAAAATAGTCTAGCTAAGAGGTACATAATTAAGGGGACGGAGCCAAGATGGCAGAGTAAAAGCAGTGACTTGCGTGAGCTCTCCCCCAAACCTCTCCAAATACCTGTAAAAAATGTCTCTAAACAAATTCTAAAGCAGTAGAACCCACAAAAAGACAGAGTGAAACAAATTTCCAGCCAAAGACAGCCTGGATGGTTAACTGAAAAAGTATATCGTGCCTGGTGGGGAGAGGGGTGTAGTTATGCCTGGGCGCGGAGGCAAAACAGGCCTCAGAGGACTGAATCATGGGCAGCTGTGACGGTTTCCAGACTTCTCAACCCAAGAACGCCAAAGACAACTTAGAAGGTCAGTGGGAAAAGTCGGTGACTGTTGTGAGAGAAAGAAGCTCCATCCCAGCCTCTGAGCATGGCCCTGAGGCAGCAGCTGCTTCCTGAGCTTCTGGCTCACAGACTGAGGGGGAACTGGTTGGCTGATCAGAGGGAGATTGCAGGGATCTCTTTGCTGGTGCTGAGGCAGGAATCTCAAGCAGCTCATGCTTGGATCTGGGTCACAGTTCTGGGTGATGGTCCTGGGGCGAGGTGGAGTGCTGGCATGGTGGAGCTTGTAGTGGCTGTAGAAAGGGAATTCTCTTCACAGTTCCAAGGCAGAAAAGAGTGTAGGAGGTCCCTCACAGACCAGAGCACAGGCCAGGAAAGGAGTAAACACCTCGCCCCTTATCATAATGCCACATTGGAAGAACTGAAAATTTACAGGTCCCTAGAAGTAGCTCTGAAAACAGCTGCACAAAACCCCTGAAGGTTGGGACAGTACATTCTCAACACTAGAAGCAGACCTCTACTTTAACGAAGAGTTTAAAACTCAAGTAACTGTATGAGATCATGAGCAAACAAAGGTGCAAAAAAAGTCAGACCACAGTATCTTTCTTGGGTAACAAAGAAGATCAAAACACACAACCAGAAGACAATAAAGTCAAAGCTCCTATATCCAAAGCCTCCAAGAAAAATATCAATCAGCCCCAGGCCAAGGAAGAGCTCTAAAAGGATTCTGAGAAACAAGTAAGAGAAGTAGAGGAAAAACTGGGAAGAGAAATGAGAGTGATGCATGAAAATCATGAAAAACAAGTCAACAGCTTGCTAAAGACGACTCAAAAAAAGAATGAAGAAAATAACACCTTAAAAAATAGCCTATGGGGCAGCTAGGTGGCGCAGTGGATAGAGCATCAGCCCTGAAGTCAGGAGGACCTGAGTTCAAATCTGGCCTCAGACCAAACACTTGACACTTACTAGTTGTGTGACCCTGGGCAAGTCACTTAACCCCAATTGCCTAAAACAAAACAAAACGGAAAAAAAATATAGCCTAACCCAAATGGCAAAAGAGGTCCAAAAAGCCAACGAGGAGAAGAATGCCTTAAAAAGCAAAACTGGCCAAATGGAAAAAGAAGTCCAAAGCTTATTGAAGAAAATACTTCCTTAAAAATTAGAATAGAGCAATTGGAAGCTAGTGACTTTAAGAGAAATCAAGACACTGTAAAACAAATCCAAAAGAATGAAAAAATAGAAAACAATGTGAAATATCTCACTGGAAAAACAACTGACCTGGAAAATAGATCCAGGAGAGAGAATTTAAAAATTACTGGACTATCTGAAAACCATGATTAAAAAAAAAGCCTAGACATCATCTTTCAAGAAATGATCAAGGAAAACTGCCCTGATATTCTAGAACCAGAAGGTAAAATAGAAACTGAAAGAATCCACCAATCTACCTCCTGAAAGAGATCCCTAAAGGAAAACTCCTAGGAATATTGTAGCCAAATTCCAGAGTTCCCAGGTCAAGGAGAAAATATTGCAAGGAGCCAGAAAGAAACAATCCAAGTATTGTGGAAATACAATTACGACAGTACAAGATTTAGCTGCTTCTACATTAAGAGACCACAGGGCATGGAATATAATACTCTAGAGGTCAAAGGAGATAGGACTACAACCAAGAATAATCTACCCAGCAAAACTGAGTATAATCCTTCAGGGGGAAAAGATGGACATTCAGTAAAATAGAGGACTTTCAACAAGCATTCTTGATGAAACACCAGAGCTGAATAGAAAATTTGATTTTCAAATACAAGACTCAAGTGAAACATGAAGAGGTAAACAGGAAAGAGAAATCACAAGAGACTTATTAAGGATACATTCCTGCAGGGAAAGATAATATTTGTAACTCATGAGTCCTTTGTCAGTATTAGGAGGGAAAAAATTATAAATATGTATATAGATAGATAGATGGCACAGGGTGAGTTGAAGATGAAGGGGTAATATCTGGAGAATAAAATTAAGGGGTGAGAGAGGATTATACTGAGAGAAGGAGAAAGGGAAAGGTAGAACAAGGTAAATTATCTCACATAAAACAGACAAGCAAAGGCTTTTACAGTGGAGAGGAAGTGGGGGAAGGTGAGAAGGAATGAGTGAATATTATTCTCATAGGATTTGGCTTAAGGAGGGAATAACATACACACTCAATTAGGTATGGTAATCTATCTTACCCTACAGGAAAATAGAGGGGGAAGGGGACGAGAGTAGGGAAATGATAGAGGGGAGGACACATTGGGGGAGGGGGTAATCAGAAGCAAATACTTCTGAGGAGGGACAGGGTTAAAAGAGAGAACAGAATAAATGGTGGGCGGGATAGGATGAAGGGAAATATAGTTAGTTTTTCATATAACATGACTACTATGGAAGTGCTTTGCATAACTACACATGTAAAACCTGTACTGAGTTGTTTACCTTTTCAATGAGGGTGAGCAGGAAGGGAAGAAGGGAGAAAATTTATAACCCAAAGTTTTAAAAACACATGTTAAAAAAAACTGTTTTCACATGCATCTGGGAAATAAAAAATACAGGAAATGGGGTACAGAAATCTATCATGCCCTACAGGAAAATAGAAGGGGAAAGGGGATAAGAGAAATGGGGGAGAGAGAGAAGAGAAGGCAGATTAGGGGAAGGAGTATTCAGAATGCATGCCATCTTGGGATAGGGAAAAAATCTGGAACTCAAAATCTTGTGGAAGTGAATGTTGGGGGAAAAAAAAGAAAATAAGAAAGAAAGAAAAAATTAAAAAAAATAAGAAAGGAAAAAAAAAAAAAAGACGTACATAATCAAAGCCTCAACCAGGATGGAGGCAGCCAGAACGAAGGATACAGACTTAAGAGACATAAAAGGTAGAATTGAGAAGACATGATAATTGACTGGATGTGAAGGTGAAGGACAGGGAAAAGTCAGATGACTTAAATTTCCAGTCCGAGTGACTGGAAAAACAACAGTGCCTCCAAAAGCCAAAGGAGGAGAAAAAGACAGGGAGGGAGTTTAGATATAAGTTGGACTAGATGACCCCCCAATTCTAAGATGTCATGACTGGGGTTGCAAGATTGGTTTGATTTTGAATATCTGACATTAAAGTGTTGAGAATATACATTTGGGACTGGGAGTCAACTACATAAAAATGATCCCTAAAATCACAGGAACAGCTAGTGTTGCAAAGGAAAGAATGTGTGTGTGTGTGTATGTGCGCGCACACACCCATACACACACACGTACGTATATGTATAAAAAAACGAAGGCCAAGAACAGGACTATCATATTTATAAGTTACGAAAAGGAATATGTGAAAGAGACAATTGAGTAGAGTCAAGGAAGCTAAAGGAAGAGAAATGAAGGAGGAGGGTAAAGACCAAAGAAAAAAAGCCACTGAATTTGGAAACTATTTCAATCGTGGTAGAGGGGAAGCCACACTGCAAGGTTCTGAGGAATGACTGAGTAAATGCCGAAGAATTAAGTTTAGACCAATCTTCCTTAAAGTCTGGCAGTGAAAAAAGAAAAGTGGATAAAGAGTTTGCAGATGGTTGAGAGAAAGTCCTTTTAAGCACTGGGGACTCATTCCTTATCAGTTATGTTCATGAGAAAATATCTGATGGTTGCTTGATTTTCCTGGAGCAGGTGTCAACAAGAAGTGTGTACCTTGCATAGTTCTGTCTAGCTTCATGTCCCTTGGGGGTGGGGATAGGAGAATCTCTATTTCCTCACTCTCTGATGCTACCAGATATATTTGGGTAAAGAGTCAGCAAAAGAGTAAGCTTGCTACGTTTCCTTATCTATCTATAAGTAACTGTCTAACCAGCTATTAACCCAAAATACTTGTTCCTTATGCCTTTATCTAGCTTTTATATACTTACCAGTACGTGGGGTCACCAATCTTGACTCTCACATGGCCTTGCCCAGTTAATAAAAATTCAACAACATGGAAGAAAAACAATGAATCTTACCCTAAGATCGATGACTCTGTTATCTAGTCTTGTATCCTGATTAACAGTAGCTCTTCCTTCCTAAAAACAGATCAATAAAAATTTCCTTAAATTAAAACAAAAAAAAATTTAAGTAGATTAGAATATTTTATACTTTATTAACTTTCCCCAACAGTTTACAGACTATAGTTTAAAAAAAGGAAAAAAAAGAGAAGTTTAGAAGTATAAAATCAGAGGCACAGAATAGTAAACAATTGTTTTAACATAAGCCATTGGAACACAACAACAACGATGATGATGATTTGCTAAGATGATTGAGAGCATGTCATATCAACTGCCAAATGGAATGATACTCAATTTCTTTGGGAGGTACTTAATGGCAATAGAAGCTCCTTCATCAGTACAGAGCTGGAGTTAGAAAAAGTTGAGTATGATGACGTTGTTATTTCCAGACCCCTAATTCATAATTACTTCCATTTTTATTCAACGTACTGGACTTTGTGACCCAAAAGAATGGCAATTCCTGGGAAGGAGTACCAGAGAAAGACTAGTGATGAAAAGGAATAAGACTGGAAGAGAAACGAGAAAGAAAAAACTTCAAGACAAGTTAGAAAGGAGAAATGACACTGAACATTGATTGGTTATTGATTCTTTCTTAAAGGCCCTTCTAGTTATCTGCCACTCACAATGAATTTCTCTTTTTTAGATGTAGTGACTACATGTTTTTCTGGTAAGACCTGGGTTCCAAAGACTACGCTAACCTCAACAGTCTGGATAGAACCAGGAGATTTAACTAAAAATACAGGGTAAGGTCAGTTATTTCAAAGACAAAATTTTTTACCTCTTCTCCCTCCACTTCAGGTCGAACTGCATCATCCAGCTGTAAGGGCAGGCGGGGTTCAGCCAAACTAATCACATAAATCTGAAATTGAGACAATACCACAAATATAATGAAGGACATAGAAACACAGCATATTATGTAGATAACAGTCTTCTGTTTCTTCTTCAAGAAATCAGGCTCCAAAGTCAAATCCCTCAAACCTCCAAGTCTTCCCTTCTCCAGTTCTTTCAACTGATATTCACCATCCTTATAGCCCTATTCTAGATGTTCTCCAGCTTGTCAATGTCTTTCCTAAAAAATGAATCCCAGAACTGAACATAACAGTCCAGATGTGATATAAGCAGAGCGGAGTACAGTGAGACTATCATTTCTTAAGTTCTGACAATAATGCCTCTTATAATACAACTTAAAATGCATTTGCTTTTTCGGTTGCTAAGTCATGCTAAGACTGTACTACACAAAGCTTCACACTTTTTTTTTTCTTTTTCTTTTTTTTTTTGGCTAGGCAATGGCGTTAAGTGACTTGCCCAGGGTCACATAGCTTGTAAGTGTTATATGTCTGAGGGTGGATTGGAACTCAGGTCCTCCTGAATCCAGGGCCGGTGCTCTATTCACTGTGAGCTTCATACTTCTTTCAGGGGAAATGCTGTATTAGCCAAACCACCCTTAATTTAGACTTGCGAGGCTGATGTTTTAAATCCAAGAATGAGATTTTACATCTATTAAGTTTCATTGGATTAGTTTTGGCCCAACATGCTACTCTGTCAATATCTTGGATCTTAACTGCAATCCAATATGTTAATTCTCTCTTTTACCTTTGTGTCACTTATAAATTTGATAAGCATGCAAATTATACATTTATCTAAATAAACTGACCAACATGTTAAATAGCATAGGGTGAAGCACAAGTCCTTGGGACACTTTACAGAAAGCCTTTGACATTATTACTGCTCTTTGAGTCTGGCCATTGAAACAGTTCTGTCAATCTACCTAGCTATCAAACTGTTTGGTACACAATGACTCATCTTTTCCAAAACAGGAAGAGACTGTGTCATTTGATTTTTATCTAGTAACATGTCAAGAAAAAAAGGAAATAAGGTTCATATGGCATGATTCATTCTTGCTCTTGGTGATCCTTTCCTTTTCCCCAATCATCCTTTTAATAATGCTCTAGGATTTTTACCAGGAATGAAAGTCAATCTCAGTGACTTACAGTCTGTGAATTCTACTCTCTTCTCTCTCTTCTTTTTTTTTGGGGGGTGGGGGGGATCAGGACAAGAGCTACCCTTCTCCAATAGCATAGCAACTCGCCCATACTGCAGTTTTTCAAATATCACTGACTGGTTAAGCATCAAATCTGTCTCTTATTTCAATACCCCTAAACATAGCTCACCTGAGTCAGGTGCTGTTTTACTGCTTTTCCCTACAGATCTTGTTTCAACTCCTCATTAGCCACATATTTTTCTGTCCTTTACTGATCAAAGATCATTCTCTTTGGCAGAATAAATGAAAGAAAAGTAAGAATTCAGCAGTCCTATCTTCCTTTTGTTATCACTGTACTTTCTACCCTAACAATCATCCTAATATACCTTAAAAAATACCTCATTGCAGTCCTTAGCTTTTCTGGCAATGTTTAGTTTTAGTACTCAATAATACTGTTAAAAAGCCATGCCACAATTTTATATTCGGCCTCTACCTGTCATTCCATCCCCAGTGACTCTCTTTTAAAATCTAAGCTGATAGATTAATTTTCTGATGTTTGCATCCACATCAGTCTTTTAGACAATTTTTCTTTTTTCCTCCTCTTTGGAATAGTTTGTGTCTTCACAACTGTTCCTTGAGTTTCCAAACATCCTAAACTGACTTATTCCTGATGAATTTTAAGCTCTGAGATCCTACCCATTCTCATTTCCTGACCACTTTCAAAGCTGTTTTTCCAAAGACTAATGCCTAACTTTTCTCTAGCACAACTTCTAAGAGGGAAGGGTCACTTTTCCCCAAGGTTACCATCACTTCCTCCTTGTTGGTAAGGACTTAATCCACATTAGAATTTCCCTTTGTTGGTTTCTCTACCCTTTAAAGGATGAAATTATCATTAAAGTTAAGAAATAATTAACACCTGTACTTTTGGTAGAGGGTTCCAGCAGACATCTAGATAACTGAAGTCTTCCATCACTACTCTTATCATTCCTCTGAACCAGGTTTCGATCCATTTCCCAAACACCTTATCAATTTCCTTTCTGTAGTATGCTCTGATAACAATATTGTTTTTGTTTCTATTTTTTTAAAAAATTCAAATACCCGTTTCTCCTCAGTGCCTGAATTTCCACAAGCATGCATTATTATACAGTGCTACTCTCCATTCTTTTTACCTATCTTGTTCTTTCTGAAAAGATATTTCAAACACAGATCCTATCCCACAATATCTCAATGATACCAACGGTGTCAAATTTCCTTCTATAGTTTACCTTACTGATACCTATACTTCACTCATTTGTGTATAGACTTCTTATGCCAGAGGTTTTATTACTGGATCCTTTTTAGATTTTTATTTTCTATGAATTTTTGGGCATGCCTACAGTTAGTCGTCTTTTAATTTAGGTTTTGGGTTTTCTTGTATCTTGGTGGATGGAAATATTTTCACTGCATTTCCAATAATACAAGTAATTTATTTAAATGTCTAATATATATGAATTCATGCTTTACAAGGTGCTTTGCAATAACCTCACAAGGTATACTTTTATCATTTTCTGATGTCCTATTCTGGTGCATCACTGTGGCACTAAAGTGACCTGGTTTTCTTGAAGATCATATCAACTGAGAAGAAGCCCTGATAGATCAGTCCCTAGAGTGCTAAGATCTAAGTACATAGCTGATGATATTCTGGATATCTGTATAAGGATTAAGCCTAACTAGGTTCAGAAAGGCTCATTATCAGGTGGGTCACCAGAATCTGAATAATTCTGGTCATAGAAACTAACTGAATCATCTCTTATGTAATAGTGTTCTGTATCAGTAGAGAGAGTATCACATGAATGAAATTTCATATCCACGCAATTCTGTAATTTAGGTAATTGTGCATTTGTTATAGAGCATATAAATATTATAACATGCAAATGTTATATTATTTTGCAATTGTTGTATGAAAGTTACTATAGAAAATATAAAGAGCATGTTTCCCAAAAGTTTACACTTTAAAAACATTAAATATGACAAATATAATATTGTTTTGGGAAGGTGAGATATCTTGAACTGGATAAGTAGACCTATGCACTAGATCTCTTTTTTTTTTCCCAATGGTTAATTTAAAGTTTACTCAGTTATAAATTTCTTTTAGAAAAAGAAATGAGATTTAAACAAAGAGAGATAATCGATGAACCAGATTCTTATAACTATAGCTCTTATATGAGATATAAATTCTTATTAGAATTTCTTATTAGAATATAAGAATTCTCATAAGAATTTATAACAACAATGCAGTAGAATTGATTCCCGTCATACAACCTATTCCACTGTCAAATCAATGTCATAAAGAAATGACATTCTGTTTTTGGGATCATTAAGAGGTGGGGGGGAGGATTAATTAATAACAAGTATTTTATTTCTAAAATGATCTTCATTTGAAAGACTCCCTAGTTTAGTTCTGCAGTCTTGCTCTACACTGAATATCTACGTGGAGTCCATTTATAGAAATCAATAACTATAACCCTTTGAATTTTTATGATCCAAAAAAAATTGTTGTTGTTCTTGTTCAGTCATTTGTCAGATGTGTCTAACTCTTCGTGATCCCATTTGAGGTTTTCTTGGCAAAGATACTGGAGTGGCTTGTCAGTCCCTTCTCCAGACCATTTTACAGATGAGGAAACTGAGGCAAACTTGAGGCTATATGATTTATTTAGGGTCACATAGTTAGTAAGTGTCTGAGGCCTGATTTGAATCCAGTAAGATGAGCTTTCTGGACTCCAGGTCCAGCATTCTATCTGCTGAGCCACCTAACTGCCCTCAAAATAAGAGGACAATTCAATTAAATCTAATAACGAATCTTGAAATATAATAAGATAAACTAAACTTTACTTAATTTTTCTATGGTTAGAACTAGTTATAAATAACAAGGCCTTGGTACAAAGCACTGATCCACAAAAGTGTATCACTGCTTGGGAAAGCAAAAATAAAAAATGTTTTGTTCATATTAATAATAAAAAAATTCGAATTTTACTTTTTTCCTCTGATGAAAAAAATGTATTAAAATATATGAAAAACTATTAATAAAAATTACTTAAATTTATTTCAGTGTACAACCTTAATTAAAAAATTACCCTTTGAACATGAAGCTCAACATCTTGCTGTGTACAGCTTCCAATTTTCTGATTCACTTTTCTCACAACACCTTCTACATCCACGATGCTCTCTTTGTTGATGCTGTCAATAAAATAGTAAACTTTAAATTTTCATCAAGTGTCTCCCCAATTGGATTCCCACAACCAGAAAAAAGTAGTCAAAAGGAAGTTGAATGCTACATTAGAGTACTTTTTAACAGAGTACTCTATTTCAGACAGTCTATTAACCTACTTACAATAGGTCATCACATAGTTCTTTGGACAAAGAATTTCAGAGATGTCATAATTTAGACTGTGAGATAGCTTGAGCCTAAGAAAACTAAAAAATATGGAATTCTGAGAATGGGAAAAGCTTTTCTGTCAATATTCTGTTCTTAGATGGTTGACTTAATACTAAGATCAGAATCATTTGCAAAAATACAGTTTTAAAATAGTAAAAGACCACTTGATATATGGGAAATTAATTTTATGATTGTGAAACATGTGTGTATGTGTGTGTGTGTGTGTATATATATATATATATTACAGAGAGAGAGAGAGAGAGAGAGAGAGAGAGAGAGAGAGAGAGAGTGTGTGTGAGTCTGTTTGTTTCCTGAAGCGTATTTTGTCATTTGGTTAAGAGAGATACTTAGTGGAGATTATATAAATGCCATACCAAAGACAGATGACTTTAACCTACCCTAAAAACATTTAATAAACACCAAAAATTCAACAGGGCATTTATGTTACATAAAACATAACAGGAAATTGACTATGAAGACGCTAACAATCTAGCAGAGGAGCAGGGAGTCACGTACACAAGTAAATATAATACAAATCAGAATATGATAAATTCAAAGAAATAATTCAAACAAAACATAATGAGATTTAAGAAGGTAAAGAATATTTTCAACCTGAGGATACTCTTGTTCAAGTTTCTTGAAATATAGTAACCCATATTTTAAGGTGGCCGTATTCCCACTGGCTTTTTTTCCCTCACCCCCAAACCTTCCCTCTTAATTTTTACCCCTTTCTCTTTGGGGTTTTGCTCACTGGTTCCTTTTTCTTTCTTGCTTTTTATCTGGTTATATAATTCTTCCCCCACTTTTTCCCTCTCAGTTAAGTAGGTGTTTCCTTTCCTCTTATCCACTTCAACAAGTCCTATTCATTATCTACAATTTCATTTTTTCACACCCCTTCCCAGAGAGGATTTCTTTATTACTTTTCTCTTCATTAACCATTCTCTCTGTCTACTCAAGACCCTCATCCTCTGGTTCATGACCTCTATAATTATCTAGTCTCTCTCCATTCTCTGTATTTCTCATGTAATTAAAACTTCCAAGGTACCCATTCTGCAATCTTCTCCCTAGGGAGCTTCTGAGACTGCTTTTCCTCCACTGTGCCTCACCAGAATGTCAATTCTTTTTTTTAAAATTTATTTAGTATTTTATTTTTCCCAAGTTACATGTAAAAACAATTTTTAACATTTGTTTTTAAAACTTTGAGTTCCAAATTCTCTCCCTTCTTCCCTCACCCCTCACTCACTTCCCTCCCACTGAGAAGGCAAGCAATTTGATATGTTATACACGTATGTAGTCATGCAAAACATTTCCATATCAATCATGTTATAAAAAAAACATAGCCCCTTCCTCAAAAAACCTCAAGAAAAATGAAAGTAAAAACAAGATGCTAGACGACCCCCCCCCAAAAAACCAAAACCTCAAGAAAAATAAAGAAAGTTAAAAAAGTATGCTTCAGTCTGTATTCAGACACCATCAGTTCTTTCTTTGAGGATGGATAGCATTTTTCATCATAAGTCCTTCAGAGCTGTCTTGGATCACTGTATTGCTGAGAACAGCTAAGCCATTCACAGCTTATCATCTCACAATATTGCACAGTACACTTAACTTTGCATCAGCTCATGTAAGTCTTTCCGGGTTTTTCTGATTGCATCACGCTCATCATTTCTTACAGCACAATGGTATTCCATCACAATCACATACAATTTGTTTAGCCATTCCCTCAATTTCCAATTCTTTGCCACCAGAAATGAGCTGCTATAAATATTTTTGTACATATAGGTACTTTTCCTTTTTGTTTTTTCTTTTGGGATATAGATCTAGTAGTGGTATTGCTAGATCAAAGAATATGCATGGTTTTACAGCCCTTTGGACATAACTCCAAATTGCATGGTTGAATCAGTTCACAACTCCACCAACAATGCATTAATATCTCATTTTTCTCACATCCCCTCCAACATTTGTCATTTTCCTTTTTTGTCTTACTAGTTAATCTAATAGGTATAAGCCAAAATTATTTAAATGTGCATTTCTCCAATCAACAGTGAGCTGGAGCATTTTTTTCATATGGCTAGAGATAGCTTTGATTACTTCATCTGAAAACTGTTCATATCTTTTGATCGTTTATCAACTAGGGAATGGCTCTTATTTTTATAAATTTGACTCTGTTCTTCATATATTTGAGAAATGAGGCCTTTATCAGAGAAATCTGCCTTAAAAATTTTTCAGTTACTATTGCTAACTGTATTTCCCTCTATTCTATTCCCACGGCCCCACTCCATTTTCTCTCAACCTGTCCCTTCTCAAAAGTGTTTTGCTTCTGACTACCCTCTCCCACAATTTACCCTCCTTCTATCACCCCCCCCATCCTCTTTCCCCTCCTATTTTCCTGCAGGGTAAGATAGATTTCTATACCCAATTGCATGTGTGTAAGTCATTCCCTCTTTGGGCCAGTTCTGATGCCTCAAAAACTCCTCTCTGGTACCACACCCTTCCATGCCCCTAGGTATTACAACTCCTTCCCTTCCCAAGGTAGAATGAATGGTCTTTTCAAGAACCAAATACCTGAGACAACACCCAGGGCAAGGTCCCTATCTCCATTCATTCACAGAACATCTCTCTTCATTTGTAGGAGCTCCCACCACCAAAGCAAAGCCTCCTTCCTCCACTTCTGCCTTCAATCTTTCTTTTTTTCTTTTTTTTTTTTTGGCTAGGCAATGGGGCTAAGTGACTTGCCCAGGGTCACACAGCTAGTAAGTGTTATGTGTCTGAGGCTGGATTTGAACTCACGTCCTCCTGACTCTAAGGTCAGAGCTCTATCCACTACATCACCTAGCTGCCCCTGCCTTCAATCTTTCTCATTCCTTCTCATCTACTCCCCCTGCAAGCTCCTTTCTTCCTGAAACCACAAGGGTCATTTTCCCCTTGTTGCTCACCCTTTATTTGAGGGAGGCACCTCACACTTCCTTTTATCCCCTATTCCTCTCCCTCCCTTTCATGTGTGCTCTCCCACTTTGTTGTAGTCCCACCAAAACAAAAAAAAACCCAATTCACCTACAGACAGGGTGCTGTGAAATTCTGTCCATAATGCTCCATGTCAGCACCTTCAGAGTTACCTCCAGCTGACTTCTGCCTTCACCCATGTCTTCTTGCGTACGCTGTCATTCTGTTGTGGTTATTGTCCTTGGGGGCTTCATTTATTCATCCATCCCTTCTGCATCTGTTGTCCAGGGTGTTCAAGAAGCAAATAATCTCTTCAGGTCTGATTTTCTTTCTAAGAATGCTTCAAACACCTCTTTTTTATTGAACAGTCATCTTTTCTCATTTATAATTAAGCTCAAATTTGCAAAGTAGGTTAGGTCATCCTGGACTCTATCCTGAGCTTCATTGCCTTTCAGAACATAACATGATATTCACACCTACATTTTCAGGTAGGTGCAGTGTTTGAATGTCATTTCTTTTGTACTTGAAAGACTTTCTCCTGATTGCTAGCAAAACTTGATATTTTTGAATTTAATTGTTAAATATAACCATTATGTATCTTGGAGTCTGCAATCATGTTTTTTTTTTCTTCTAGAGGCAATCTATGAATTCTTTCAACTGGTTATTTCATTTTCTGTGTTCAAAAGTTCTGGGGAATTCTCTTGTATTATTTCTTGCATTTTCCTGTTAAGTTTTTAACTTGTGTTCTTCTGGGAGACCTATGATCCTTAGGTAGTCTCTATGTATCCTATCTCTAAGAGTAGCATGTTTTGCTTGTATAGTGAGAGTGTTCTATTTTAGTGTTGCTGTTTTTTGCTTCTTTTCTTCTAAATTGGTTTTCACTTCTGTGTATATGCATTTCTAATCCAATGCTCCCTTTTTTTTCTTTGGTGAGACTTGCCACTGCTGACCCCAGTTTTCCTATTCTGCTCATTATTTTTTCCCGTGCAAGCCATAAATTTTGCTCTCAGGATTATCATTTCTCTCTTGAACCACTGAGGAACATTATGTTGTGATTCCATATTGTCCTCTTTTCCCTTTGTTTTGCAGCATTTATTCACAGATGCCCAAACACATTTGTTAAATCTGGATGCCACATTTCTGTCTGCTGTTAATATTTATCTGCTTATGCTCAAGGTCTTTTGGGTTTTCTTCTTCCTGAGATCTCTGGAAATTTTAGTCTCCCCCAAAGCCCCATAATTTCCCCCCATTGTTCACTTTCTGACTCCCTTCCCTATAATGGTAGTTTCCTTGAGGGCTGGATTTCAAAGTGGCTCACCTTCCTCTCATTGGGCAATTCAAGGTTCATCAGCCTAAGTCTCTATTCCAAATGACATCTGAAAGAACAGAACTGGCCCCAAATGAATGCTGAGCTCTCTCCCTATGGAATGCCATATTCCTCTTTCTCCCATCCCCCAGAGTCCTATCCCAGTCTTCTGTCCTGCTTCCTCTGTTCCTCAGTTTTCTGGCCTGGCACTCCCAGTTTAGAGAGCTGATGCGCTCGTGCTACAAGGTTGATTCCTATGGTTTGGCTTGCTGAGGCTCTAGGAGGAGGGGGAAGTAGAGTTTGGGGTGGAGCTCTATTTCAAGTCCAGACCAGAGTCCTGTCCTTTTCTCTCTGATTCTCTGTTCTTCTGCAGAAATCTCCTGCAGCACTGGCTTTCTGACACAGCTCCCACAGTGCTACTGTGTCCTGATGCTGAGATCTCCATAGCACTGGGGGTGGTGGTGGTAAAGAATTGATGTGTGGGGTTGAGTTTTGTTGCAAGTCCATGTGCTGAGTCCTTGGTCAGATTGAGTCCAGCCTCTTAGCCACAGTTGT